CAGGACAAGTATAACAGGAATAAAATAATTATAGATTCTATATCTAAAGAGTAGATACACGATTTATGTGAGGTATTATTCACCAAATGATTTCATAAGCACTTTAGAATTATTATATAAAACAGTCTAGTCACACAGATGAGATTGGTTACTCTTATGCTGACATTTTTTATAAGAATTTTAGAGATAAAAATCACTTCCTGCACATCTTTTACATCCATTTAGCCCTAAAATGGCAAGTAACAATATTTCTAAAGAAATGTTTAAAATAAACCATTTTTATCATATGAATATAAAATCATATTTTGAAAGCTGATGGAGAACAAGCATTCTTAAGCAATCTGGCTTTGTGGTGCACAGCATTTCTCTTTCTTCCTACCTTAATGACCTGTCTAGGTACTTCTTAGAATGTGGAAGAGTCTATTCCAAACCAACATTTATTGCCATATAATACAGGAGGTAAAAAAGGGCCTGAAGGAAGCAATAAATGACTTACTTACTAGAGAGGAAAATGTGGAGGAGAATGGGAGAAGGTAGACCAGAGAGAGAAGGAAAAAGAACATGATGAGGTAAGATCTGTGAGATTTCTTTCTAGTCCTGATTTTGTGTCTCACAGGTATAAGGCCAGAGTTATCTGAGAATCTATGACCAGGATAGGAAGTTAGAGTCCTCATCTACACTTCTCTGCAAGGATGGAGATGGACACCAAACACTGTGACTAAGATGACATGACTAAGATGACACTCAAATGCAGACTCTCAACATTGTAAACTTCCAAGAGGAATGCGAAATTTAATTACAAGATTTAGAATCTCGTGTGGCAAAAAGAGTTCATATCTGAGTCACTGAAATGATACTGCTAGAGATTATGTTATAGTAAACTTCTCTATATCACTATGTTAAAGAAGCACGATCTACAAAAACTACAACATTTTATTGTTCTGTGGACGATCTTATTCATACAATACATATGCCTATTCTCCAAGTTTTTATCTGGTTTCTTTGTGGCAGCTGTTGTTGACACAGAATTAACACGATCATTCTGTCTTCTCATGTATAAAATATCTAAAGACTAAATACCTCCAAGGAAAAGAGAAATTAACACTTCTAAGTTCAATTTGTGTCTGGGATGTTATGCATGCTCTCATTTCATCTTTAAAAACTTTTCCAGGTAGGTTTTATTATTACCCTGATATAGACATGCAGAAACTGAAATCAGACAGAAGTAACATGGTAAATGACACACGAAAATGACAAATTTGGAATTAAACTTTGACTTGCATGACACTTCAAGATTTCCCATACTAACTTATCAATACCTATACCTATAAGCATACATCTATTATATTTATTGATCAATAAGAATGATAAGAAGGGATGATTTAAAGAAAATGGTTCAAAATAGATGACGGGTGTTCATGTCAGGGACTTCAAAACATTTTAATTATACAATTTCACATAATCCCCAAACCAACCCTATGAAAGAAGCATGGTTTTATTTAAAAAACAAAGATTTTTATTGTATAAAAAATTAGATTGTTAAGTTTTTAAGTTATGAAACAATTCACAACTTTTAAATCTTAGCCAAATTAAACACATTCCACAATGTGTTTGTGTAGCTTTAGTTCTATCTTAAACTTTATTGTATCCATTTAACTATTACTACAGTTAAGTATATGGCATCTATTAAATGAAGAGGCTGGAGATTTCTAATTTTTATACACAAATGTATCTTAATATGACCTCAAAAATAATGTGCTAAAATTAAGCTATCAACTTAATACATTTTTGAATAACACTAGTAAATTGATATTTTAATGAAAATTTTTCAAAAATACTCATTATCACTAAAATAAATTGCTCAATTTTTTTCCATAAATGGATAATTAAAAGTGAGTGACAACTGTGAAATTTAAAAAAATAAAATAAAGAACAAAATATTACCTTGAAATAACAATGGATATTAAGAAAATACTTCTAAAGTAAGTGTGTGCTATATTTTTCTTTCATATTACCTGTATTTTTGAATTTTTAGAAGAGTTTTAAAAATTACATATATTATTTTAAATATAGGGAAAATGCATTAGGTTATAGATAAAATAATGAATTTTAAAAAGTTCTGTGTTTAAGCACCAAATTTTTTGGTTTTCTTGAAGAATATCATATTATGCAAGGATATTTTATGTTAAGTCATTAACATGCATAGTTCCACAGTTCTACAGAACTACAGGTACAGAAAATACATGTGGCCACATTGAGACACCCTCCTTCAAAAATCCACAATGATGAATATATCTGCTAAATACATTTTCACATTTTTGGATGGAGTCATTAGTTTGAAGTATATACATTGATGATATTTCACTGTCTGTGACCTACACAATTGTCATTTTCATCAACAGTGATAAAAAGTTTTGATTAAAACAAACTGTAATTTCCAAGCTCCTATCAAGGTGCCAAAGTAATCTCTCAACAGCATTTTTCTGTTGAAAGGACTAGTTGTTAAAAGTCATTTGACTTTAGAGTTTGAGAATTGTTTTCCAATTTATGGATGGCCTGAAGACCATCCATATGACACCAACTGATGAGTTTATTAAACATGCAATCCTAGGTCCTGTGCTAGACATTCTAAATCAACCTCAGGGAGTGGGATTCTAGAATCTGCATTTAAACAGGCTCCCCTAGTGATTCTTATGGCAAATACAATCACATGCTACTTTTCATGACTAGTGACATAATCACAGTGTTTAATCAAATTTTAGTTATCTGCCTTTACGGCACCTGTTAACAGAGTTTACTCAAAATCAGAGAAACAAGATAAACTACACTGCAATATTTATAAAATACGATAGAGAAAAAAAAGTTTATTGAATATTTACAATATGCTGAAGACTTTGATATGCATTTTACAATGTACTCCTCGTCTTTCCTATTATCCTCACTAAAGATGAAGAAACTCAGATTAAGAAGACTTCAGATAGCATTGCCAAAGCTAAAGCATCATAAATGCAGAGCTGAGATTCAAAACTGGATTTGATTAACTTCAAAGCTCAGCTCAACCATTCACTTTCTGAATTTTGGCTGTTGAAGAAACTAGGAATGTTAGGAGAAAGACACTTACCATCCAGAAAGTAAGACAAGGTTCTTAAAATAATTTTGGAGAAATATCAGGATAGAAAGTGAACAGTCTTAATTTCTTTATCCACTGGATAAAAGTTGTATTTGGAAAAACAAAAGCATATTAAGGTTTCTGTAATTGTTTTGTAACAAATAAACTGGATAAAAAAATAAAAAGATGTGTACTTCAATAGGCATAATACTTAGCAAACAAAAACTAGGTGATTATTTTTCACAACTGATATAGAAGTAATTTCTGTATGTAGTTTTGGGTGGTATGGGGCAAATATGATTTAAAAAATCATGGGCCGCTGGCTACTTGATAATTTTTTATTGATAAAATAACTGAATATAATGTATCCCTCATTACTTGTATGTTCATAAGGAAACATCTATTAAAAGAAGAGTAAAATCTATATTTGAAAAGAGAAATTTCAGGAATTTTACAGTACAAAAAAATAATGAAAGCATGAGTTAGGACTATGAAGGTAAATTAATAAGGACTTACAAACATGAAAACCATGATTTTTGAGTGACCTCATCCAAAGAAGTGTACTAAAATTGACATGAAAACAATCACCTACAGATTTATATATCTAATTTTCTGGACAATTTTTAAAAAATTTATAGAAACATAACTACTTTAAGATTTGTCAATGATAGATAGCAATATCTATCATTATTTATTAAGAAAATATTAAAGCAGATTTTATCATTTTTCTGGGTTGCCAGAAGCATGCACATGTCATTCATATTTTACAAAGTTGATTTTCAACTTCCACATATAAAATAGTGTATCAAAATAGTATAACTGTTGCCAAAAGAGGTATATTCTCTTAAAAATGTCATTATGAGGAGGAAATGGGGCCAAGAAGGGTGATAAATGGTAATACATTCTTTCAAAAGATAAACAGTAAATGGCCAGGGAGAAGCATATTTTGCCAATTTATGGAGTTAATGTGTTGTTAAAATTAAATGATAAGTTGGAGAGATAGAAAGTGAATTTTGGATAAACTGATTTCAAATTTTTCTGCTATCAATGTTGGTAAGTCAAAAGTACTTGTATTTTAGAAATAATTTTATTTTACAAAAATTGATTTAAATTAATGAAAGAGGCTTAAAGGAGGTTGCTTCAACACTGAGGAAAAAAAGAGATCTATATGCTTAATGTCATAATCTTTACATGTGTAAAAATGCCAATTCCATCATATCATTAGTTTACTACCTGTTTCACTTTTGTTTATACTGGGATTTTTACATAAATATTTACAAAAAATAATAATGATCATCTATGGAGTGTAGTGAAACACATGATAATGTTTACTTGATTTCTTAGGAACTTGAATGTATTCTGATGAACAGTCACCAATTTACGTGGAGAAACATTTACCAAAATGCTGTATTTTGTTACATTTGTACTTATTTGTCTTTATAAGGTTATAAATGATATAAAGGCGGAAACTACTGTCCTACTGCATTAAAAATTAATCTAAAGAGTTGAGTTAAGTGACAGCCAGAATTTTGTCAATTTAAATTATTTTCATTTTCACAGCACAGGGTGGGGGGATTGAAATTGCAGTAAGATATTTTACAGATGTAGTGTATACCAAAAGTTTACATGTAGGCAAATTTAAGAAAGAGTGCCAACAACCTAAGATTTTGTGGATAATGAAATACATCCTTAAATATTACAGTGTGACTTGATTCTCCTCCAAATTTATTTTTAGGCTGACTGTGGCAGAGTTAACTTTTTAAAAATTAAACCACTTACTGCATTCCTACAAGTTACTTGTTAACTTGGAGTCCAATGTGAGATTTAATTATATGCAAAAGACTGAAAATACAATGGTTTTGAAAGTCACTATACATTAAACTGCTGTTACCTTATCGCCTTCAGAAAAAGTGACGCCATCCACCGCTCTTTTCCAAGTGATTTCTGGAATAGGCTCCCCTTCTGCTTCACATATGAGTGTGACTTGACCATTCTCAGATGTAGTCTCATTTTTAAGCTGTATTATATGAGGCTGTACTGTAAAAAATATATACATCACTCAACCTGTATTTGAGGAAAATATTACTATGTGTGGTGGGCATCTAAGTACGTACTAGCATAGTATAGAATTATTAGCTTTGCAGCAATTATGTTGTCATACTTTGCTTTAGAAAGTTGCCAGGAGAGTTGCAAAGTACAGGAGGAAAAAAATGTTAGAAAATAATGGTCATTCATTATCTTTATAAAAATAAATTGAACTGGTTTAGAAACCAACATAAAAATTATAATTGCTTCCAAAATTTTGCCAATTAAAAGTGACTTCATTATTTTTCCTCTTAAAGCTACAAAATTAAAATTTCCTCTTTTAAAGCCACATGTGCATGTATGAGTGGGTGTGTCTGTGTATGACATCTGGTTATCTCTTATTTAAAAACAATTTTACCAAAGAGGGAAAATAAAGATGTATCCTGAATATATAGCAAGTACAATCTTGTACAATATTTAAAATATTTTTAAGTAAACATATAAACATTCTACTTACTTGTATTATTCTGATTGATTAATTTGAACCTCAGATTATTTTAATTAGATAGTATAGCTAATTATTTCTTTACAATTATGACTTATATAAAAAGCAAAACAACCTACTAATTTAAATTATCATGTCTTCTAATTAAATTATCTTAATACTAAAAATTACAAATTTACATATACCATAGAGATTTAAGGTTGTGAACTCTGTATTATCAGCATTGCTTAAATTTTTACTTGTTTGAACATAAAAATGATAAAAGCCAGCACTTGTTATTTCAGGACTAGTAACAGGTTTTTTTAATCATTAAATGCAATCAATTATGAAAAATAATTTGTATTTATATGCATTCTTAATCTTAAAAAAATTAGATTCCTGATATCAGAAACATGGTATGCACAAGTTTTTAACAGTTCAGTGTTTACTCCATTGACTTTAACGGATTTAGTTTTATCTCCACTATATACACATGATTTGTATCAAACCCAGTACAAATCTATTGTGATACTCTTCAAAGTGATTACAACAATGATACAGTATATCATGTTTCATTCATTATTTTCTAGTTGAGAGAATGGAAATATTAGAAACCTTCTTTTATTTATCTCTTTGTTCTCACTGCCATCTTAATTTTTAAAAAAGTAATTAAAATAGCATTTCATATAGGCCCAATGAGATAGATTGAGATAATCTACCATTTG